AGATGTGCTAGGATAGCCAATCATGTTGATATTCAATTACATGGGTTTGCTGATGCATCTATTGAGGCTTATGGTGCATGTTTATATATTCGCAGCATGGACTCATTGGGTAATGTCAATGTATCATTACTAATCTCCAAATCCAAGGTAGCTCCTATCAAATCCTTAACAGTCCCAAGGCTGGAATTATGTGCAGCCTTGGTATTATCAAAATTATGCAAGCAAGTACTCACATCAATAGATTTAAATTTCGATTTTATCCATCTATGGTCTGATTCCACAGTAGTCCTTTGCTGGATAAAAACTGATCCAAACTCTCTGCAAACCTTTGTAGCAAATCGCATCAAACAAATTCAAGAACTCACAGATCCTTCATTATGGCATTATGTTAACACCAAGGAAAATCCTGCCGACCTCATCACAAGAGGTATATGCCCTTCTCAAATTCAAAATTGCAATCTTTGGTGGTCTGGTCCACCATGGCTGTCAACGTCCAGCGAGGCCTGGCCTCATTCTCATATTCATACACCTGAAACCTTGCCTGAAACAAAAATTAAAACTACCTCCTTAATTTCTACACATTTCGAAACTCAAATTGACTTTTCAAGATTCTCTAATCTAAACCGCATTAAAAGAACCATGGCTTATTGCCTAAGGTTCTTGCACAACTGCCGTAATAAATCCGATACTTACACTGATATCTTAAAGGCGCAAGAATTAGATAATGCACTTAAAACCCTCATTAAGCTAGCACAGCAGGAACATTTTCATGACAGCATCCTTAAACTAAGGTCCGGCAAACCCCTGGACCCAAAATCTAAAATTCAAGGTCTCAACCCTTTTATAGATACTGAAGGTATCTTAAGAGTCGGAGGAAGACTGCAGAATTCTTCTTTTCCTTATTCAAAAAAGCATCCTATCATATTATTTTCTCAACATGTTCTGACTAAACTTATATTCCAACACGAGCATAAGGAACTCATGCATGCTGGGCCTCAGCTTCTTCTTTCATCTATCAGAGAAAAATTCTGGCCTATTGCAGGAAAAAGTTTGGCCAGACAAATTTATCATCAATGCATACGCTGTTTCCGTACAAAACCACGCCTAGCTAATGCAATAATGGGTTCTCTTCCTTCTTCTAGGGTCACCGCTCAACCGCCATTCTTTGTAACCGGAGTGGATTATGCGGGACCCATTCAAATTCGCGATAGAAAAGGTCGCGGGTATAAGGTAACAAAATCATATATTAGCCTATTCATTTGTTTTACCACAAAGGCTATCCACCTAGAATTGGTAAACGACTTAACTACTGAATCATTCATCGCAGCTTTCAGACGGTTCGTAGCTCGTCGCGGAAAACCAAGCCAAGTCTACTCAGATAATGGAACCAATTTTGTCGGTGCTAATACAGAACTTGCTGAGCTGGCGAATTTTCTCAAAAATACAGAATCTGAAATATCCGAAAAGATACATAACGAGGGTATATCATGGCATTTTATACCACCCCACTCCCCAAACTTTGGGGGATTATGGGAATCCGGGGTAAAATCGGCCAAGTTTCACTTAAAACGCATAACCTATAATGCATTGCTAACCTATGAAGAATATTACACTGTGCTTACGCAAGTCGAGGCAATCCTAAATTCCCGTCCTCTCTATCCTCTCTCATCTGATCCTTCCGAATTCGAGATGCTCACTCCCTCACATTTCTTAATTGGCAGAACGGCTACTTCTCTGCCTGATCCAGACCTCACAGACATTTCCGGGAATCGTCTGTCTCGATTCCAATATGTTCAACAGCTTCATCAGCAATTTTGGAAAACGTGGCAACGTGATTACATTTCCCAGCTACAAAATCGACCAAAATGGAAAACCTCAGCTACTGCACTCCAATGCGGCTCCTTGGTTCTAGTAGTTGACGAAAACAATCCTCCTCTAAGGTGGCCACTCGCCCGAATTGTTGAGCTTCATCCTGGCCGCGATGGTGTTTCTAGAGTGGCAACTCTCAAGATCTCAACTAATCCGAATCTGCTTCGACGTGGCATCTCCAAACTCTGTCCTTTACCTTCAGAATGTTAACTCTAAGGTGATAGTGCGGTGCTAATGGCAATAAGTAATTGTTCGTATTGAAAGCCATGCTTTCAACGTGGGGCCATGTTCGCGCTGTAATCTTAAGGCCGTACCTGCTTATTCCCTGCTACCGTGCCGGGTATTACGTCACCCGACACCGGTTTGGTGGCGCGGCATTTTTTTTACTTGTAGAGACAAGATTTCGCATTGTTTTGAGAACAGTCAAAGGGTTAACAACGTTTCTCAAATGTATAATTATGTTATATCGTTTTAAGTAAAATATATTGTTCTTTTTAGTAATCAATAGTTTTAATAATAATATCTACAGTCCACAAATTCGATAAATAACAGAAAACTCTTAACAGTCACATCGATACAGGTGAGATTGTGCACAAAGTGCCTTTGCAGGCCTATTTTGCCCATTTTATGTATTTGTTTTTAAATCATGTTAAATTACTATTTTTGAAACTCAACAAGAAGAAAATACAATTAACCCTTCATATAAGATAAATTAACTGTAGTTTTATTAGTAAAGTATTAACACTAAAATAATATAAATTAAAAGTATTCTTTATCATTAATAATAATTTAATAGATGAGAAATACATTTTTTACATTTTTAATGTAATTTACAGAAAATAGCTAGGTATGTATTTGTTTTTAAATAATTTGACAATTTATGAAAAAAAGGAGTAAAAGTGGAATGACCAGTGGCCAGTAGGTCAATACAATTTATCATATATTTCTATTATAACATAACATAACTAAAATACCTACATCTCTTAATCATAAGGGCACAAGTTAAAAACCATTTTAATATATGCTTTAGAATGAAGTAATATTAACTTAAAGAGATGAGGTCTTAAAGTAATAGCTGGTTTTTAAACGTTTCCTGGTTCCTGCTAGAATGAAGTCACTTTCTATGAAATGTGCTCTAAAAACGGCATTTATAGCAGTCAGCGTTTCAGTCTTAGGATATCTTCCTAAAGCCCTCATCCAAGCTGCATACCTATTAAAAAATAATTAAAAAAAAAAACATAGTTTTCGGTTCTGGGTGCCCCAAAAGAGGACACTTAGCCGACAATTTGGCTCAGATAGCTAAAACCCAACAGTCACACCCGGAACCAGGACGTATTGCTATCCTTTTAAGTAAAAAATAAGTTACCTGAAAAATGAAGGCGTATAACTTTACACCAAAAAAAACCATACACTTTTTCCCCTTGTTGCAAGCACCCGATGACGATTAGGTAGGTATCAACTAGAAGCATGTATTTAATGGTTATAAAGCTTATTTTAACACAAAAAGAATAAAGCACTAGTCGAAAAGCAGCAATCAAATATAAATAGACCACACAATGAAAAATTTAAATTAAAAACTGTAACTATAAAAGACAAATACAATTTAATACTCTAAAAGCGCAAAAGATCAGAACCAAACAAAACGAATAACCATAATAACCTTAAAATCATACTAAAATTGCAAAAACTAGTATTGTAAAATCATGAGATTATATCAATAATGCGTGTGCGTCGGAGTACAATTAAATGTCAAGAGTACAGTGTTTTCATGAAAATTTAGCTGTTTTAAGCAGTATTATAGGACCATTTCTACCACGCGCACCCAACGATATTGGCGTTTCACAGTTCACTGTATTTTCCCCGCACCTCTAGTATAAATCATTTGACATAACGAAACTAACAATAATTATAATTAATGTAGAGTAGGCTTGTGTCAAAACTGTAAAAAAATCTAAAACTAAACAGTAATAAGTGTTTCGTGAATTCTAAATAAAATAATTATTATATAAAAGTGTAAAAGGTAATGTAATTTATTTCCCTATTTTCCTCTGTAATATCTTCAATTAATATGTTTTATTTCTATAAATAAACCAACTGGTGAGGTGAAACATTGTGATATATAATTTTATTTGTGTCCTATGCATACACTTTAATATACAAAACACCTGGAACATTCTTTAAATAATTATTGTAGTCGTAGGAAAAATTGTATACATAACTCGTTTGAAAGTGTATTTTATGCACTTGCCAAATATATTATCCATACTCACAGATTAATCAGACTATTTTTTTTTACTTAACTTCAGTATATCTCTTACTACTAGAACTATTTCTATCACTGAAAAAAAGGAGCCGTGTTTTCATATGTTCTGATGTATTTTCGGCTTCAACCCATCGGACCCCCCCCCCCCCCCCTCTAAATATATATAAATTTTGCTTAAAATTGCTAACCCTACAATTCTCTATCCATGTTTGCTGACTGGGAAAATAAATACCGAAAATCGTCACTGTTTCCTGGACTATACAGTTAGTAGATGATGGTGAGGACTTCACAACAAATACACTTTTATCAATGGCTAGTTGGGGATGTGGTCTTACTCATCTACATTTGTAATGGTGATGGGACTTTTCAAGAAAGGTTATTTTTGGACTAGTCCTACGGACATGTCTTGAAACTAGTCCTACGAACATGTCCGGAAACTAGTCCTACGGACATAGAAGACACAGTTAAATCTCCATCCTGAATGTTTTCTCAAAAACACTGTGGGAACAATATTTGAATTTTTATTTTTTTTTACATTTGTAAAATAGTTCAGACCTTTGAAAATTTTTTAATAATTTTTTCACGTATTAAATAAAATATGAAACGAAAATTTGAAAACATCCTTAAAACATATATTTCTTCTTCTTTAACTATATATTATCTTAGTAAGAAATTCAGACAAATTAGTTAATTTAATTAAATGTGTTAGGACTAGTCAACTATTCAGACCTATTTGTGGACTTTTCCAAGCGATCCATCACTAATTTGTAAAATCTATTGCAAAAATGTTTGAATATGTTGCAAGACACACTCGAATAGTCTCGTTGTTTTGGTTGGATTTGTACATTATTACCTTTTTAATTTTTAGGACAAGGGAAACATTGGTCAGTGGAAATTTATTAAGTGTGATAAATGTATTGATGCAACTAAGAAAAGTCTGCAACCATCCAAATCTATTCGAAGTGAGACCGACAATATCGCCTTTCCAAAGCGAGGGTATTAGATTACATATTCCATCCATTGTATACTCTGCTTTAGACTACGATTTTACAAAAGTGAGTGAACATTTTCTCAAAAATTTCTGATTATTTTAACTGATATTTGTTATTTTTTTTTTAGCATGTTAACCTTCAAGCTCTAAATCTCCTATTAATTATGCAAGAAATTCATTTCGCTTCCTATCAGTGCTATCGAATGCGGCAGTCTAGAAATTCGAAGAAAATTATAGAAATTGATAAAATGAGTGTTAAAAATCCGCCACCGATACCACCTTGTAAATTAGCCATGCGAGTTTTGCCTGATAAAATTAGCAACAATACTGTTAAAGAAGGCAAAAGAGAGATGCCAATTTTGACGCCAACTCAACCGCCACCATTACAACTGAAGAGTATCGGACAGCAAAATATGAAAGTAAAAGTTTCTGGCGTGCAACTAGTCAATCCACAGGGTATTTTAAAAAGTAAGTGAAATTATACTTAAGAAATATTACTGAATTCATAGATTTAGAAGGGACATTATGAATCTCACAAAGATTTGTATTTAGTACGGCGACCGGTTTTGAAGTGTGAACACTTCATGTTTAGGCACGCCTAGTGGGTACGAGAAAAAAGAATTGGTGAATTTTACATTGTTAGCAAGATGAAAAAACGATGGAACATTGATTTAATTTAAGTAAAATTAACAAAACCACTATTATGTAACATACAATTGTAAGAAATGCACATTAAAGGTAAATTACTTTAAAATAACCAAAAAAGGTTGACAGCTATGTGCACGTAGTTTAGAATCAAAAGGAAAGACTTGTATTTCGTGCAAAACTTTTTAATTAATAAATGTAAAGCGCTTTCGCAAAAGTTTTGCACGAAATGCAAATCTTTCCTTTTGGAAGTAAATTACTTTACATTTCAGTTTATTAATATTGAGTAGCCGAACGATAGGGTTTGCATTCTTGAGTCACACACTCTTCGTTTTCACGGAAGTAGTGAGCACTCTATTCCTATAATAAAGTTTATTGGGCCAGAGGTTGATTGACAATCTTTCTCCATTGCTCTCTAGCTTCAACTACTCATTAATTCCTAATTTATCAATGTCCGTCTCTATATTTAGACCATATTTCTTATACCTTCCTCTTAGTATATTATTTTAGATAATGCTTGTTTTGATTCTCAAAACATTCCCTTTTTTTTATTGAATGGCCAGGTCTCACCAATATATGTGGCTATTGGTTATCCCAATATAATTTTATGTACTCAAGATACAGTTTTTAATCTTAAAATTATCATCTTCAATGAACAGCTGCTTCAGTTTGTATCTTTTCTTTATTTACTCTTGTATTAACATTCAACTGTATAATCGGTATATTTTTGCAACTACACTCATTTTTTGCCAGTTATAATGTTTGTTAAGTACCCAAACTAAATATATTTTAATATGGTAACTTTTCATCCGAAATATTTTGTTGAGATAACCTTGTATTTATTTTATTGCAAATATAGTTGACTTGTGTTTTTTGGCAGTAAAAACAATGGCAATTACCCAATAATGTTTTATGTGCCATTAATAACAACATCTACAAGGCACTGGTCCGCATCATGCCGTTCTGGAAACATTACTTTTTGTTTTTAAATAAGAATAGAGTAAATTTTAAGCAAATATTTCAATTAAAGGTTTATTTGTCGCAACTAAATTTGTGATGCACAGTCGATCAGTTGGCAGCTTTTATAGCAGTTTAACTTTTGCAACTGTGCTATAAAATATGCAGTGGCCAGCATGTTTTCAAATTTTATTGTTGAAAACTATCTAGAACCTTGCAACAGTATTATTTTAACCCTTAATACATGACATACAGTTTATTTTTTATATATTATGTTTTAAACCCTGGATCTATGTACAGTGTCCTGCACAGCTTATAAGGGGATAGAGTAGTTTCGGGAAATATTGCGACAACTCCACCCACAATGCGCCGGATTGTGGAACACGGAACAAGGTCCGAAATAGGACTGGAGGGGACGCTTGACGTGTCGCAATATATTCTGAATTATTATTGCATGAAAATTTAAGGTATGGTTCCTTAAGGTACGTTTACATCGTGACATTTATTGCATGATATTTATGTCCGACAGTTGTTTAGTCCAGTGTAAACACTCAAAAATATATGTCCGAGAGAAAGTTTTGTGTGTACACTGGAGTAAACAACTGTCAGACATAAATCTCATGCAATAAATGTCAGATGTAAATGTATCTTTAGGTCAAAATACGAAAAACTAATTCAATGGACATAATGTTTCTGAAATCGCTTCGTTTCTGAGATATATAGCAGAGAATAGAAGTTAGAAAAGCTTTTGGTAGGTAGAGAGGTAGTAAACGTCAAACCCCGTCGGACGACTTCGAGAAATTTCACGGTAACGTTTGTTCGTCAGTCTTAATGTAGATTAAAAATAGTACCAAACATTTTAAATAATTACCAGCAGAATCGGGCAATCGTATCTATTTATAGTAGATGTGTGTCGTTCGCGTCAGTGCACTGACTCGAATGAATTGATTCCCTGTTTTTAAAAGATTCGAATCTTTTTTGAGTCAATTGCTCGATGGCTCTGCGATCGATCAAACATGCCGAGTTCCGAGTTTGGTTGCTTCGTTCATTCGATTCGGATTCGAAGATTTGGTATCTTACATCGGCATCGGCAAATTGGTCGCTTTTGTTCTACGTTCTACGGCATAATACGAGAACTCTAACTGACAGGCGGTGGCGGTATGTGTCTTTAATGTTTTTCTCACTTTACAGGAGGTGTGTATTAAGCTTAGGTAAACAATTTATGCGTGTTGTCTGATAAATAAATTTAAATCAAAGTAAAATTAAAACAAAAAATGACGAATCGTGAATATGTAATTTTGCGTTAATTTTGGCTATATATTTGGCATTTAAAAAAAAATTGTGTTATTGTTGTTTATCTTAACGGACAAGGATGTATTTATTATTCAGCTGCCTTTTTTTTTTATGAAATATGAAACATTAATTCGCTTTACTTTAAAATAAATCTGGTTATAATTATTTTACTCGACGACCTAGTAGGTAGGTTAGGTAGTACTCAAATTCGTAAAAGTTCGGTTCGATTTCCTTCGCCGGATCGGCGGAATAACATCGTTCGTGGTTCGCTAAAGTGAATCACTTGAGAACGAATCTTGAAGAACGAATCTTTTTGGGTGAATGAATCAAATGAATTAATTCAGTAAAAAGATTCGAACTTCCCAACTCTAATTTATAGGCTAGAAATCATTATTTAAACAAGTAATAATATTATTATCTCAAATCATAATTCTATAAAATTTTAACAGCTATTCACATTTTATTAAACTCTACGCGAAATTGTTGTTAGATGATAAAATAATTTTTTACGTCAATGTTTCGCGTTCACTTCGGTTAGATCCGCGGCAAAACTGTAAATCCTGTGTATGGAGTGGGAGAACTGTGAAAAGCCTTTCCAACTTATGTCCCTGGTATAAAAGTTGTTAAAATTTCTTATAAATATTGGTTCCTTATTAATATCTAAAAACCACTTTGGGCAATTTTAATGACATTTTCACAATTTGTTGATATTTTACTGTAGTATCTTTTTTGATCCAGTAATTCCAAGGATGTGTGTGCAAGTAAAATAGTACAACAAATAGTGCTCAGTAAAATATTGGACGAAACAACTTAAAATACCAATTTTTTTACTATGTTCTTATCTTGCTTAATTTTCTAGAAACAAAATAAAAACCAAACATTTGTGCTCGTTTCTGAATCTATTTTTTTAATAAGGTATAAAATTCCATACAACAAATTTTTTAAATATTTCTTTTTTAAAAACTCAATAATTAGAGATAATGTGACTCTTTTAAGTGCATGCAATGTTTCGTGGTTACGTTGTGCCAATCGAGCAGTTTCTCGAAATTTTCTGGATTTTTTATTTGTGGAATTTTGGCATATCAAGTGAGATTTACCTTTATCCGAATAAAAACACATTAAAGCTTGAACTTTTGGAAACACTCTGTATGTGATATGGTATTAAAAGGACTTCCTTAGATTTAAAAAAAAAATATGAATATTTTTATTTGTCCTGTTTAATCTTGTCAAAGTTGAGTTAATGTAATATACGGTGTCGACCACTGAAGGTCTTCCAATACGCGATGCACAAAAGCGAGTGAATAGAGAGTTGGCATTGGATCGAGCGGAAAAGGAATTATGTCAACGGTGCCATTTATATGAACTGACCGCGTTGAAACGTTGGCCAGGCGGTATAGGCTGGCATCATTGGTATTGTCCCAGAGTTGTCAATTATTTATAGAAATTTGGCTTTGCTTTCAGTGACATATGGGATAGTTTTGTGCAACTAATAGTCGGTCGGTAACGTAGAAAGCTGTTATGCTATTTTAGTTTGGAAATTGACGGGCTTTTGAATTTACTTCGACACTATATTTAATTTTGCATTTTCAATAGCATTTTGTTAACACGCTGAGATGTGTGTTATAAAAACTCTAATAAAAGTAAAATTTTATGATAAATAATTTTAGAGGTGCAAAATAAATATTACAAAATTATAAATATTTATATTAACTAAATATCATTTATAAAATCTTTGGTTACAATAATAAACATAATATACATTTTATAAATAAATAAATATTTAAATAATAGACACAAAACAAACAAATTTTTTCTTAATCGTGGGAAATAAAACAAGAGTTCCATTCCTAATTTTTTGAAACAAAAAAAAAAAAAAACGTTGAGAGTGAAAAACTTCTTAAAATACATGATTTTGATTGTATGTGACTCATTACTTTTGCAGCGATTAAACTAATTTTTAATTTACTATGTTTAAGATTTTCTTGCATGTAATGAAATTAATTCAGATTTAACAAGGTTAAAAGGCTTAGTTAATATAATTAAATTTAGCACATCTAGAATAATTATCAAAATGAATATCAGAATAGAAGCTTTGTTGAACATTTCAATAGTTGGGGATAACACAATTACGAATACAATTATTATTACCCATTTTCAGTTGACAAGAAAATAAATTATTTGTTCTAAAACAGTGTAAATAGGTCAGAACAATTATTTACTATTACAATCAGATATATGCATTTATAGGACATAGACATGTTAAATTATCAAAATATGTTCTAACATAAATTATTATTAAATTTTACCTAAAACTAAATTAAAGTAAAACCAACCAAAACGACGTGGGTTTTGTTATCCAAAGCCAGATTTACATTGTACAAATACTTTTCAATTTTTACTATAGATAAATAAAAAAAATTATTAAACTAATACTTTTGACAGACATGCTACTAACACATTTCTATTGATATATTTTTGATTTATTCATTTTACTTTATATTTTTATATTTAAAATATAATTGTATTATTGTAAAACGGACTTGCACAAGTTTACTTGTTGAAAAAATGGGCCAAAGCTATAAACTTCCCTGCTTTCCCTAGTGCTAGCTCTCTGTAGTTTTCACACGCACTTGTACCAAGGGATATTAGAAGATGTTCAATGATAAATACTGTATATTCATGTACTGTTAAATGTTTCAGATTTAGCTATTCCCGTTGTGAATATATCACAAGGAGCGACGGGTCATATAGGTACACCTGTCAGCGTGACGTCTGTATTAAAACCACCTGATAAAATATCTGCCAGTTTTGCCCAGTTGGTGCAAACGTCCACTGGCAAGCATTTATTATTGACGTCGAATCCAAATATTACTGCAAACATCCCAGTGACGTCGACGACATCAGGTAATTTTTCTTTTAAAAGGTTTCAATAATCGAAATAGAATAAAGTAGAGACAACATAAACACTATTTTGCGATATGACAAATGACCGAAATGTGTAATGAAAATGGCGACTTGAGTCGTACTTTGATTTATTTGAAATCAATAATTTTATATTTGAAGACTATCTCGAGTTAGACATTGACGTAAAAATGTAATGCAAAGGTGCAGATAATTTAGCATCATCACAGCATCTCCTTTTTATTCTATCTCAATGGTTTTATAAATGACTTTAGTTTTTTATTTAATACCACTTTTTCCATTAAAATTTTTGTTATAGGTGGGCAAAAATTAACGTTCCTGTCTAAACAACCGGTGTCTACGATAGGAAATGCGGGTCATTCTGTCACAAAAGCTTATGTCAAATTCCAGTTGACATCCGTGACAACGGCAACAACTTTCACAACTGTTACTACAGCGGTAAGTAAGGACTTTCTACACTATTTTAGAATTTTAACATACAGTGAATTTTTATTTGTTTATTATACAAACTAAGTGCTTTAAAACTAGTTTTTTTCTGAAAAATGTTCTTTTATATGATTGGAAATTTCTCCAGTAAATTTCAGTTATAGAAATATTGATACAGATTCGGTAAAATTTGAAAGGAAGAAGATAGCTAATAGAAAAAACATCTGGAGTACAGAGAGGTATAAGTGTAATGGCATAGAAAAAACATCTACGTTGGCTAAAAGTCGAGTGGGGATGTGAAGGGAGGTATATTGAAGAGTTTTTCTTTTGTTCCTCTCTATTACATCTTTGTACTCTCATAAAATTTTGATTACCGAATTTGTATATATTCAAATAAAATTAATGTTCTTTCTTTGTATAATAAATACAATGAATGCACAGTCGATCAGTTGGCAGCTTTATAGCAGTTTAACTTTTGCAACTGTGCTATAAAAATGCAGTGGCCAGCATGTTTTCAGACTTTAATGTTGAAAACTATCTAGAACCTTGCAACAATATTATTTTACCCCCTATTTCAAATAAACTTTGTACTGTAGAAATTACAAATTTTTCGTGAGATTTTAGGAAAACCATAAATAATGTATTATGATGATTCATCGACTGCTTTGTCATCAATATCGATGATTCATTCTAAATATTATATAATGTAATATTTTTTTTTAAAGCTATTTCATAGCTTTTATCGCGGGCTTTGAGCGCGGCGTCCGAATCAAAAAATTACGTAACACCGTAACGAAAATAAACCTAACACCCCCCACTCCGACCGGCACAGTGGTGCGGCGTTAAAACTTTCAACTTGAAAGCCGTAGAAGGTTGTATCCGACCCTATTCGTATTAGTATGAAGCGGAGTTAAATATACGTCTGCGGACTGGAACGTTTATGCAATACAAGAACTAGAAGAGGTTTCTCTGGCTTCTAATAAATTGGTATCACAAATGTTCCCGGCTGGCGTAAATTTTAGATATTAATTTTTTTTTAGAAGATATCAGTGTTAACTATTTCATTATTAAGCTATTGCATAGATTTTATCGCGGCGACAGAATCAAGAAATTCCGTAACGAAAATAAACCTAATACCGTCGAAAAATCCAACAATCGAAAAAGAAATTCCGTAACGAAAAAATAAACCTAACACCCCCCACTCCGACCGGCACAGCGGTGCGGCGTTGAAAGCCGTGCATGGTCTAACGTCGTTTCAGTTCGGCACGGTGTTTGTGTGCGTGCGACTAGACGTATGCGTGTAGACTAGCTGCTAACTGCTCATAACTGATTCTATCTCTTTTAGACACAATTTCGGAAAAATTGAATTTAAAAATGAATAATGATCCACAAGAATCCACAACAAAATATGGGACCATCACTGACGCGGTATTTTCCAGATATTTAGAGGATATCAAGTCTCAAACTTATGTTTCTGATTTCAGTTACCATAAACCTATAGTTTCAATGATAAAAATTCCTGAATAACCTACATGTATTGTAAGATAATAAAAATATTTTAAACAATATTAACTTCTCATTTATTCAATAAAAGAAAAAAAATTGTTTTCTAATCAGTCACCACGCTCAAAAAGTGTAACTTGAATTAATATCAAAGAAAAAAAAATACTGCATAAATAAAATAAATAAATAATTATAATTGCTAAGTTGATAAACAATGCTATGCAATAGCTTTACCGCGGCAGTCCCCGAGTGTCACACGTATTTTGTTTATTTTAAAATATATTTTATATGCTCTCTTGATGAGTTACTCTTACTTTTCTTTGTAGTTTAGCTCCTATTTATAAAAATACTGTTGTAGGTTTTGAGTTTTTGGGTCTCTTATTGTATTGTTTTATTTTTTAATTTATTTTAAATTTGTGAATGTCTGTTTTTGTTAACTTCCGAGGTTATATTTTTATTTTCTCTATTATCCTGTCTTCTTTTCTACCATTTGTCTGGATTTTTTTTTAAGGACAGGTCGGTGATTTGTGCTGCTTTTTTCTTAGTCTTCCATTAATGTTTCTTTCTCTTTACCCCAATATTGAACAAGTTCGTTATTACAAAATGTCAAGAATATTAGTGTGACTTGACAAACCTAGTTTTTAACATCTATTCTTTTGTACAGCCGGACATTTAGAGTATGTGCCGTTTTTAGGCTTAAAATTAAATTTATGTAGACTTGTGTTTTAGTACCCATAAAAGGGTAAAATAAAAGTCAGAAGTACTTTGGTATATTTGTTGGTCTCCTAATATACAATCACACATTTCCACGGAAATACTGAATTACGCATTGTCTAATAAAAGAGAGTGCACCGGGAGCACGTAGAGTTCCGCGAGGTATAGAATAATATAATATATGGAATATGTGTAAAAATTGAAGTGTAGATTTACCTCACCGTGCGTCACGCCTTTCACTAATATTCCAATGCCGTAATGTACTGGCATACTTGTTCCTATATGGAAAACAGCAAAATGATCGATCGCAAAACACCTGATATAAAGGGGGATGCCCGCCAGGCCCACTTTTGGGGTATTTCCAATAGAGATCCATCCTGCCTCTACCAGGCTTTGATTTACATAGCCGCAAAGGAAATACCATTTTTGGGCCCTTATATTGTGGTCCATGGCGGCCTAAGGCTCTTTTGGCGCTATGCTCTTTTGCTCTGTTGATCTACAAATCATTGTTATCAATCACAGTTCTGAGGATATGTTAGGTAGTCGACAAACACAATTTCACCAATTTATGCTAAATACATAACTAACGAATATAAAAGTAATAAAATGATACCTGTAACCCATCAATGTAGTCTAAACTCTCCCCTGGACTATATGAATATTAAATTGATTACATTAATAGTGCGATTATCGTTTTAATACTACGTAAAAGGAACCTCACAGAAAAAAAAGTATACCACTGATAAAAGCGTATACCTGGCGCAAGTTTGTCGGATCAGCCTTAAGGGTGACGAAAACCACTACGAACATCGCCTAGAGTAGTACTTTTAATCAATTAGTTACACTTTATAACGTTGAATCGGAGATATAAAATAGTTGGCGGTTACCTATACTAGCGGGATCTCACCAGTATCGGTTGCGCCAATATTTTAGTCTATAGATACAACCTTACAAAATATTCTAGGAGCGAAATCTGGTCCTATTTAACGTCTATCTTCTTGGTCATTCTGACTATATATCTCCTTTTACTTCTATAAAATATAAGCAAAAGATGGTCATCCTAAGGACAACTGGATATCTATGCAGAAGTCGTCGTATATAGAAACGAATTTCTCCAGTCCGTCAATATCTTTTATTTCCGTTTTCAAAATATAACAAAAGCGCGGACACCATAATGATGGCGATATCTCTTTTTATTTATATTTGAAGAATATAAAGAAAAAGGAGTCACCGTAGCGGTAACGTGGATATTTGCCTTTTTTGTTAACTTGACTCGGTGAAGATAAAAAAGCTAATCCTCCCCAGCTCACAAAAACCGTGGTATTTATACCTAAATTTCCCATATATGCATAAAGACTTTAAATCCCTGTATTAATTCCTGAATATAACCCTAACGTTTCTCATCTTGTTTTTTCTAGCGGCCCGTACGCGTTCAATTCTATTCCCAGAAGTAATTAAGCGGCGCGTTAATGTAGTGAAACACCGGGATGTTGTTTGCATTCAAATTAAAAAAAAAAAAAAATTAATATATAATATATAAGAATTATTTTAATTAATTATCAACCCCGGTTGTCGGGTTTCATTAGTATATTTCATCGAGGCTCATAGTGTCGTGCATACAATTTAAGTCTCATGTACATGAATGTAATTCTGCTTTCGTTAAATGATCCTTTTTTAAATAACTTTCTATGTTTTTTTTTTTTAGAATTCCAATACCATTTCCATAGTAAAGAGCGATGACAACAAAGCAAAAGGTGTTCGTACTTCTGTTGGCATTGATTATATAGGTAAACTTTATTCTAAACAAAATAGTTTGGATGTGCGGTGGAATAACGATGAGAAGAATTTAGGTTTAACAGTAAGTATTTTTTGCATCATGACTTTATTTATTATTATAAAGGCATAGTCGATCAGTTTCCAGTTTTTATAACTGTACAACTTTTGCAACTGTGCTAAATTATTGCAGTGGCCAGCATGTCTTCAAATTTTATTGTTGAAAACTATCTAGAACCTTGCAACATTCCCCTGATACAAAAATGGCTTATTTATTTCTGAATACTGTTTTTTTTTTATACATGTATTTTGTTTTTCAGAATGAAGACGATCCTAAAGGGGAACGCAAAAATAGACTAGCGCTAATGGCCAAAATAAACAAAGCCCGATGTTCGGCTCTGCCGTTGTACGGACGAGACTTCCAAGATGCCGTCAAAATATTTTCTCCCAATAAATTAAGTGCTTGGGACGGCGGTGGTGTTCATTGCTTGAACGCTTTGTACAATAAAAACATGAAAGACTGTACGGATTGTCTGAAAGACATGCTGTATAATCCTGAAAGGAGGTTAGAGGATCTCAAAGATACTTTTGACCGATTTATTATTTATGTACCTGCCGTAAAAGGTGTAGAACCTGAACAGCAAGTGTGGCATCCGCCGCCTAGCAAATACTGGGGCCAAAAACAAGATAAGCATCTTATACAGGTAATAGCACGTGCTTCTTTCTTTAAAATATACCAATTATTCAAGTTGTTAAGTAATCAACCAGTTGTAAGTAGTTATAACTGCAACTGATGATGGAAATTATTATTCATTAAGCATCATCAAATAAAATAGAATGCTTCGGTAATGTAATAAACAAATATCTTAACAAACTTGAGTAAATTGTTTTAATTAGTTTTAGTGCATGAAGTTAACACAACCATTATGAATAAAGGGTTAATTATCTTATTTAACGCAAATTTTTGCAAAATTATGCTTTAAATTTAAAAAAAAAAAACAAGATTGAATGCTAAATGCTAATTTGTAACAGTTCGCCTTGGTTTATTATTATTCATCACAGTATTTAAATAAACATTTTTAAAACGCCTAGAACCAAATCACACAACTTTGTTTAAAAAAAAAAATATTTTATTAACATTTTTCATTATTCGAGTAAATTAAAAGATTTTGGTGTAACATGTAGACCAAATTAGTGACAAATATTTCACTTTACTTTTTACTTAGCGTATTTGACATTTTGACTATTGTTTTTCTAAAATAATTACATTAACCCATCTTATTTTCAGAAATTGTTCCTTAAACCAGCTACACCTCTTCATAGCATCGCTTCTGCCATGGTCACTCAGTTCCCGGATCCAAGACTTATCCAATATGATTGTGGAAAGTTGCAAACCCTTGACGTACTATTGAGAAAATTAAAAGCAGAAGGGCATAGAGCACTTATATTCACACAAATGACAAAAATGTTGGACGTTTTAGAGGCGTTTTTGAACTACCATGGGCACATATATCTTAGGTTAGATGGTACGACAAAGGTGGATCAGAGACAGGTAGGCATTAGAAAGTCTGCTACAAAGTCCTTAAATCAAGTTTTAATACTTTCGCTTTGATGTATCAAAAATATGATTTCTTTGTGAGGTTTTATAATAATAATTAATATTCTAAGAGAAAAATGCAGGTACATAGAAGAATACTTGATTCTTTTATTTCAGAAAGTTTGTTACTTTTGAGAAAATGAGTAAAAACTTATTTGTAGTTTAATAAAATGTGATAATGCTATTTGACATAATTAGTTCAAAATAGAGTTGCTTAGATGTTTTTTTTGTTAAAACGGGTATTTTGTTGATAATGACGGAAAAAATTAGATTCAAAAAATGCAGTTAGTACCTTTATCAAATAAATGGAAAATATTATTTTTTTTAAGGAATCAACTTGGCGTTATCACTGAAATATTAAACAGTGAGTTGTTTTTCTAAGAATTACCCCAATAATAGTATATTATGCAACGATCATGTAATAACCATTACATGAGAGTTGCATACGCTATTTTTTCTACACCCGATAAATAATCAAGACCTATAAATATTATATTTATATTGGTATTGAACACAATAACAGTAATTACTCGTATTTCTATAAAAAATTCTACAAAATTGTAATTAATGGTATTACTTCAGGTATTGGTATTTCCCTAGATTTTTGCGGTAAAATATTTTGTACTGTATTTTCTGCTTTCTCCGATATGTGTGGAGGAGTCTTCTATATCGCTAATATCAGACATTTTAATATTATAATTATCGAAGTTTAGCTACCTACGAAAATTTAATACGTTTTGACAACTAAAATAATTACATAGGAACCTAGGACAAACGTCAAACAGCATGCTTGATTGAAAAATTGTAGGTTTCTATTGATTAAAAATCTGTATCGTAATGAAAAATCTGTATCATAATGGGTATCATTATGAAACGGATTATGGGCATATAAGTGCATTATTATAATACGGGTGTAGAAAAAAACAATAATAATGTATAAACATTAAAGATTAATTGAAAAATGTAACATAATTTGTATTAAGCTTATAATGCAATTGCTTTCTTTTTGGAAACTTTTGTAGGCCATTCCAAAATTTCTTTATAGAATGGGTTCCTCTGGAACGTATGACATCGCTTTACCGATATCCGTTATTTTTGTTTCCAATATTGGAACTTTCTCTTGATGGGGTTTTATTTCAGGCATTCTAACCGAAACTCTTTCGACATTTCTTGACATACGGATCTTAAAAGTATGGTTCGTCAGACCTCCAATAAATTCTGAGCACATGACATATCCAGGAGTTTCTGAGTTACAACGAAAATGGCAAAATTGTGATACAGAAAAGGGTTGCTTTTGTGCTCTGGGTATTCTTTTATTTAAAGTTTCCAGAGACATAACATTTTTTTTATAAAATTTGGGCCACCATTACTTGAAATGTATAATTTCTTCTCCTGTAACTTCCATGTCGGTAACATTTTTCTGCGCACTTGAAAGCTATTATTATTTCAGTGTATTCGTGAACAGAAAATATACTATCGGATCGGAGGCAAGAAGGAATGCCCTCTGATCGGAAAAAATTGTTTCGCTTTTTTACATTAGTTTCAATAATGCTGGTATGATTTTTGTTTTGCCAGGGACAATTATTACTATAAAGACGTAATTCCTGGACATTTTCCGAAATTTCACGTTGAATTTCACAGGAATGAGCATATCTCGTTTGGTCCCTTATTGGCAACACCTTCATGGTAAATATAAAAGAATGACTTGCCAGTCTTACAGTTGTGTATACCAAAAATACTGACTGTTAGTTGTGTTAGATAAAATAAATCCTAGACTGGCACTTCAGGTAAGTGAACATTATGCGTAGTCAACTGTTATTATGACCAGATCATCACGAATCTTGCAGTCATCAGTAGATTCCTTCAACAACAAATAATACTTTTTTGTTCTTCTTTTATGTACTGCAAGTTCGGCAGCTGCTGCTCTTTTAGCTGCATCTTCTAGCGAAGGACTTTTAATTTTGAGGTCCAGTTCTTCACACTTGCAATAAGTGTCTACTTGTGGATAGCCAAAGTGAATGTCAAAATGCTCTTGAAAATATTTCACAAAGTAAGAATATCGAATTTTGGTTGTTGAATATTTTACATAATTTTCATATTGAGTTTAGCATCAAGATATAGATAGGTTTTATTGCTGTAATGAGTTTCCTTAACAGGGAATGATTCAATATGCTGGCGAATTAGTATGTTGTTCTCTTCTAAAATAGCATTGCCTTTTATATTTTGTCTCTGCGTGTCATATGGAGTTATATTTTGTTTTGGAAGATCTTTTAAACGTTTCAACCTTTTGATGCCAATACTAAAAAACTAAGAAATGCCTTTTAACAGACCTTTCCTCGTTTACCATCAACTGGGATATAATAATGGAGGGAACAAGTTTTTCCCTTTGAGTTCTCTGGATTTTGTGGTTGAGATTTTCTTTTAATGTTAACTACTTCTAAAAGACCTTGCAAATATATGCCCTGATCATCATTAGTGTTAAGGGCATGAAAGCGAGTAAGAAGTGCATCTTATATATCAGGGGTCAATTTTTCAAAGCATTTCATTGGACAACTAAAAAAAAAAGAATGGTCAGTACGTAATTACCGAAAGAATTTGCTGTTTGCAAACTTACCGGCATCCGTCTCCAAGCTTTCTTGTATCTACATAATTTTCCTTGTAATTTACGTAAGCCTTTCCCTGAACTCTGCACCTATTGATAACATTCCTTATAATTTTCATCATTTCTAACACCTAGTTTCCTTTTCTTTGTTTCTTCCACTGATCTTTCAGACTTTGGTATCGTCGGTATCACTCATAATTCTTATTTTCTTAGAGAGCACTTTAAATATACGCTTTGACACAACAATATTATGACAATATAATTTTTATAGACTATTTCTACTTGACAGCTGATGGTGTTGGTGCTGAAATAAACCTGGGTGGCTAGTAGTCATTTATTTGAAAAAGGGACCAACTATGTCACTTGGTACCTTTCTCAAATAAATGCTCAAAACCAGGTCGAATTTACGGGCACTGTATTTACGGAAGATGGTCTCTTTCTGCACTAAAAGATGCATTTACTTTAAAATAATGTAATCTGAAAAGTTCCAAAATGCCGAAAATGTTAGTTAGTCCCTTTCTGAAAAAATAATCTATTCAATTAGACACTATTTTAAAACTAACCAGAATGCTTTATTATAATAAAAAGAATTAACAATAATTAAATTTGACGTCACGGTATTGGGGCGCATTTTTTTAAAACAATTTTTTTATTGGAAAGTTACACAAGAAAAGAACCCAGTATTTGAATGATTGGATAAACAAAAATTGCCCCTATTTGAAAACTACAAAAAAAAAAAACAAAAAAAAATTGAATATTTTTATAATTTATCTCTTTCAGCAGTAAATTCTCAGACTACTGCCATTTCTGTCATTTTAGATATTAATGACAGGATTTTTAATGAGAACGGCGTTGCTATTGTTTGTTAACGAAATGTCGATCTCAAATGAATATCTCAAAATAAAATGATTTAATATAGTTCTAGCTTTCTTGTAGTTTCATAAAATTTTTGTAATTACATAATATGTCTATACAAATACTGTTCCTTTTTAATAATTTTGGGAGCTTTTCTAACCAATCGAAAGTAGTTACATTAAATAAAAATGTATATTTGACAAAAATGTCAATATGCCAAACAATATAAAAAGGTAATTGTCCGAGTGCACTTTTTTAAACTGACTACAATTCAATATAGATATGATTATAAACTTTTTGTTAGATAATTTCATTACATTTTGCATACTACCATAATTTTTATTTTATTATCAATAAAATAAAATGAGTTTTTGATTGCAGAAAAACCGAATTTCGATGTATATTAGTTGAGAGTATCACAACTCTCAAGTAATCACAATTTTGAATTATTCTTACCTGAAAACGAAGTTATTAAAAAAAAAACACCAATGACGATTTTTTCGACTTATCCCGCTTTTAAAATTTTATAACATGATGATTCACTTAGCAGAAAAATTGAGATCCATTCAACTCAATTTTACCTATGACGACTATCGAGGCATTTGTCTGAAATTAAAAATAAGATCAGCATCTGTAAATTTTCAAACTACGATCGTTTTTAAAAGAATTCTTTCTATTGCAGGTCCTTATGGAACGGTTCAATGGTGACAAGCGAATCTTTGCTTTTATTCTGTCCACGCGTTCTGGTGGTGTCGGCGTGAACCTCACTGGAGCGGATACTGTGATATTTTATGATTCCGATTGGAATCCAACTATGGACGCTCAGGCACAAGATCGTTGTCATCGAATTGGACAAACCAGAGACGTACACATTTATAGATTAGTCAGCGAAAGGACAATAGAGGAAAATATACTAAAGAAAGCCAATCAGAAACGATTACTCGGAGATCTAGCGATAGAGGGCGGTAACTTCACTACAGCCTACTTTAAGAGTGTAAGTTACATTTTTTACGTATAATACTTTTCCATTAAATACGCTAGTTTAGTGATGATGTAATTATGGTTCCACTGACAATTAAAGTAACAGTAGATTTTTGAGTGCGTTTCGTTCGTCTTGTTTACCTTTTTTACTTTTATAAATATATTCATTAAGTAACTAGATACCATACATCAAATATACAATAGTTTAGTTGCCAATTACATACCTTTAAACTATTTTTATGACCTGTAAACAATATTTTAAAATAAAATAAAAACAGTAAAAACGTATATGTCAAATTTATTGATGTTTTTGTTAAAAGTTTGGTTAGAATTAAATGTCAGTGGAACCAAAATGACATCACACTGAACTAGCGCATTGTATTTACATTGACCGAATTTTGTTAAAATGTCATCAAGAATACAATGACCATATCAGTGGCGTGCATCTTTCACAGGATACAACATGAATAATATTTTTTAATAGGGATAGCATAGATATATATTTTATTCAATTTTCGGAATGATCTTTATTCTTTCCTGATTAATTAAACGTCAAATATCTTATAGTTTAGATAAATATTTGCGCACTTTTTCGTCCTCACTATAAACTACATATTTGGATTATTTTATTATCAAATAGTTGTGATTTTCATAGCTTTTACTTTAATAATGTAACTTTTTCATATTTACATTATCAACATTAAATTACTCGAGAACAGTCTGTATAAGATAGGGTTATCAATATTATTATACATTTTTGAAATTAGATAAAATGTATATCCCAGAAATTTAATAACATAGAGTGTATCCCATTTAAAAAAGTTTATTTGTTTTGTATTCCGTGAAATCTGAATACAAATGTGTTTTTATGGTACATTTAAAAAAAAGTCAGTCATATCCACAAACTTTTATTTAAAGCTTTTTTTGAATATGCAATAGTGGTTATAAAAGATGTCTTTAATAATGAATAATCTTGTACATGATCTCAAATAAATTTGTTTAAATTAATTTCATTTGTAAAAATGTCACTTCTGCTCCTCCCATAATGCTAAAAAAAAATTATGTCCCGGTCTGGGATTTGATGGTAAATATTGATTCTAAATACATTTTTCAAGTAACATTGTCTTCCTGTTTTTAGAAATAAAGGTTACTGTTTAGCCCAATTCATATATTTTTTTGACACAGGTTTATGAAATATTAAAAACTTCCCTTACTAAATATTTTGGCTCAATCAAAGTATATATCTTAAATTGAGTATTGTTTGAAAAAATAAAAAAATAATATTAAATATTATAAAGATATATTATTAAAGAAACAAATTTTTAGCTTGGACTTAAATAAAACAGTAAAGAACCACCTGAGAATAATCACTTCAATCTACCTATACCAAGAATTATTCATAAAAATTACTTATATTTTCCAAACCTAGCCAACAGAATTATTGGAAATATCAACAATTACCAACCATCTTAAGGGTTTTTTTATTACATTGTTACACAGCAAAAAAAAGAAATAACCTGTTGTTTATGATTACTTCAATGCTAAGTACTTAGGTAGGTATACCTACCTACCTACCTAAGTATGTATTTAAATTAAAAATACAATTTTACAAAAAGAAAAACAATAGCTTATTTTCTATTTTATTAATTTCAAAACCGTTATAAATACACAAATTTTTAAGTCTAATTTTAAAACAATAATTAATGGTTAACTAATTTATCATAATATATTTCATTAAGAATGGGACAACTGAAGATTATCTGATTAAAAATAAAACGATTAAACGAAATATGCTTAGAAAAAAAAATTACCCGTTTTCGAAATGCAGGGTGTTAAAGTTGAAAATTCAAAAATTATTAATAGCTATTATATTTTAATTTTTCAGTATCATTTTACTGAATTCGGTAAACATTTTTGACACTTTACAAAAACTTATTTAGACAATAATTTTTTTTTTTTTTATATAAATCATGTTCTCTTGTTGGGAACTCGTCCTTTATTAACAGTAAAATAATTCAGTAATAAAAAAATAAACACAACTAATTCACAATACTACCCGTAAACGCACTAACGCACAATAACAACCATTACCTAGAAAATAGTCCAAACAATGAATAACGAGTGAATAAAATTTCATCTAAAAGCTAAAAATAAAAACCCATCGGTCTCCGTCATCCGCAAAAATTTCAGCTCGACCCTCAAGTCTGCCCACTTCAAAACAAGCGACTTTCGAATATTACTAGCGCCATCTATTGGTAGTATCCATTTCGCTTCAATGAACCTTCCATAAGGTGATACTACTATTAGTTCTTTATACAATGCATCTATGCGTAGATTTACGGATTTTTGTAAAGTGGCTCATGCATTGATTTTCTGTGACTGGGTAGTGAGAGTATGCTTTGCGCTACCATCAGTTATGGCACTGATCTTAAAAAAAAAACTTTCAAAATCGTCAATAAGTTATTACTAGATACTAGAAAACATGTCTACAGCTTAAATACATCATTTGTAGTTTATTTAATTTGTTAAAATTAATTGACCCATCAGTTGGATGATATAGAGCTGTTGCATCGGCTGCCACATTAGGAAAAGCGAGACGCCTGCTAAATTGAGAGGGGATGGTTTCTGCGAGATTGTTTATCTATTCTGAGCACGCGTTTTCTAGCAATTCGTGCAACTATGATTTTACTTTACATCATTGCCATACTGGAAAAATGGTGTACTCTCCTGTAAATCACCTTCAGCTACAATAATAATTCCAACCAGAAAAAGACATTAATATACTTCCTTAATGCAAGTTTTAAAGACTTATCAGTTTTAGAATTAAAACCATAAAATATCCTTGTAACAAGACTTCCATACTCTCTCATAATAATTGGACAACTAAGCGGATAACATCGTGAACGCTTTCAATTCGGTTTTTGTAAACAAAATTAGTCTAGTAGTTGTTCGTAATTGACAAATACTAATTAAAAAGAAGCAAATAATTAAAAAAAAAGTTTTAGTTATTTGGCATCGTGAAGAAATAACGACAATCTTAATAGTGGGGGAAATAATTATTGTGCCTTTTAAGAATTTTATCTAAGAATAGATATAGATAACCAAAATACTAATAAAATAGATTGTTGATACAACCTGTAGAAATCCTCGCGACTGTTTGGAACACCAATAGGATATTGTTTTGTCATAAAATTAAAAACATTTTTCTCAGAACAATGATTTAAATTTTTTATGGTCTACTGTTATTTAGAAGCTGCGAAATAAACAATAATGCATAGGCAAATATTTTACGGTGCACTTACCTTAAATTGATTTTGGCTTGCTCCCAAACTTAGGTATAATCTTGCTTCATTAAGGGAAGAAATTAATCTGGTTGGAAAATATTACATGGACGAATAGAGGATCATGAAAAACGAAAAAAAAATTTCTTCCCTCTACTCCTCCAACTTTCCTCTTCTCTTCCTCTGTCACGCCTTAATGATAAGGGATAGAAATGATTTAAAACTACCCGACTCCCCTCTTCTTTTCCCTCCACCCCAGGGGATGTCGATATATAGAACAGCTAGACTTAGAAAAATTATCTTCGGGTACCAAGCAATTTCACTTTCTAAAAAAGAAGTCATAATCTCCCCCCTTAGTGGATATTTTTTGTCTTCTCCCTTTCTAAATGTAGGTGGGGGGTCAAAAATGTTTTTTCATAAGAGGGAAAGCCCACTCACGCGACACGTCGCGCGCGACCTACCGCATGCGATTTTTTAGGTGCGATTTTTAACAGACAACAAGTAGTGACACATACGTTCAATATCAAAATAGAGGTGGAAGAAGCAGCAACGGTGTTGTTTTATTCTGTTTGTCGGCGGAAAAAATTGAAACGACGTAAGTACTGGGTTCGTCCATTATTTATACCCTTATGTAAAAGGCGCATTTAATTTATTATATAAGGATTTACGTCAACACGAAGATAAGTTCTTCAAATATTGCAGAATGCTAGTGCAGATTAACTGTTTAATATTTGAGGTCGGTCTTGAATATCGGATATAAATTCATCTATATCAATGTCAGACATTTTTTCACTGGAACTGTCGAAAAGAGGAAACTCGCAACTCTCAACTGGCGTTTCGCACGCTACTTGACGTTTGTATGAGTGATGCTCCATATGAATCCATGATAACGCTGGCCGCGTGCGGCAAGAAAATCGCGGGTTTGTCATTTCTAATTTTCAGCCGCGCGCGACCACGCGACAGAACCGCGTTAATGGGCTTTGAGTCATTTAAAAACATCTAAAGTATTGCCGCGCGCGATGCCTCGCAATCAGTCGCGCGCGACGTCGCATGAGTGGGCTTTCCCTCTAACTCAGATATTTTGAGATATGTATTGGTTGTATAGATAATTAAAAAATCCGAAGAGTAGGCTGACTTCCTTCCCCCCACCTCCTTTTTTAAACATTTTCTGGGCTGTTAATTATTATTAAGCCGTGGTCGGATATATAGAGTGATGGGATTACCCACTCTCAACCCTCCTTTTTTAGGGGCCTCAAAAGTAACCTAAAATTAAAAATTGTGTTTCATATATCAAAAAATGAAAGTTTTTAAATTGTGAGTTACTGTTATTTTATTGAGTTTGTTTTCTATTTAATTATAATGGTACTGAATTGTATTGTAAGAACATATAAAAGTTTGTGGTTTTGGATATACAATGAGCGAATGTATAAGAATTAACTACAAATGCATATATGTTTCCCCAAATTTTAATTATGATTATGGTTGAATTGAAATGTACATCGATTGTCTTGTCATACCTACAATTAGATTTTCTATAGACATATTACTGTTGACTTTTTTTTAAATTACAAACCATCATTGAAGAAGTGATCTCATACTTGCTTCTTTAAGGACGAAATGTTTCATTCCTGAGAGATTTTGTTTTAATATATATATATTTTTTTTAGACTACAATTCAAGATCTATTCAACATTGACCAAAACGAAGAAAACGCGGCTACGAGGATGTCCGAAGTGATGGAAATGAAGAAAGATCGAGAGAAGGCATTGGCGGGTGAAAGTTCCGCTGTGGACGATAAGGCAGCGGTGGGAGCATTAGAAAACGCTTTGGCTGCATGCGAAGACGATCAAGACGTTCAAGCCGCCAAGACTGCCAAAGCGGAGGCGGTGGCAGACCTAGCGGAATTCGACGAAAACATTCCTTTGGACGAACAGGAGAAAGAAAAAGAACCTGAGATCAGCAAGGCCGAACAAGAAATCAACAACGTTATAGAGAAGGTAATAAATGGCATTTTTACTTGCAGAGGTAAATTACTTATATTTTAACTTTGTTTTTAGCTGACTCCCATAGAAAAATACGCAATGAAGTTCATCGAAGCGACTGAATCTGCTTGGTCGGCGGAGCAACTAGCTGCAGCTGAAAGGGAAATCGAAGAGCAAAAGAGGGAATGGGAACAAAACCGTCTGGCGGCGATGAAGGAAGAGGAAGAACGAAGGGCGCGCGAACTGGAAGAGGAAGGCGATATTATCACGTTTTCAAGAGAGGACGCCGGCAATCAGGTTAGCTCTAAAACTAAAAAGTTAAATAGAACTAGTAGATTGTTAAATAATAAAGACAGAAGGGGTAGGAAAAAATCTCAATTGACGTCGGAAGGTAAGCAAATCAAAAAGTTAAACGCAAAGAAGGTCTCTCAAAAACCCAAAGAGACGCCACAGGAACCGGTGGAAGTATTTGAATCATCACAAATGGAGGAATCTCAAAACACCGATACTGATGATAACACGATCGAAAGTGGCGAATCTGATAAAGAAGAATCGCTTGAAACGAAAGGCGTTTCTAATCATGTAGATCACAATTCTCCGAGAACCAGATCTAGAGGTACTGTAGCTATAAATTTATGGACTTTAGACGTTAGTCCAATTTTACCCGGAGAAAAACCCATGAGAAAACAAGGGGAAAACAAGAAATATTCTAAACGCTATAAATCTGTCTCGGTCTCTGAAGATGACATTGACAGTCAACCGGATTCGGATAATCATAAAACGATACCAACTAAAAGGAAGAGAAGACGAAAAAATAACAGCAGCCTAGAACCGTCTGAAGATGAAGTAGCAAATGAAGATAAAGAGGAATCTAACGTGAAACCTGGGACAATTATAACCAAAAGCAAAAATTGTAAAGTAGTATTAAATAATATAATGTCCGATAAAAGGTATAAAATTAAGGAAATTCTTAAGATAAAGGATGAAATGGAAATAGCTACAGGTAATCAGGACGAAACTAGTATTAAAAAAATTGATATAAATAAAGAAAGTCAAGTGATTAACATAATCAGTACTGAAAATAATATAAATGAAAATAAACATGAAAGTATATCAGAAATTGAAGATGGTAACAATACAGCTGAATCATCACTTGATGATATTCTGGAAGAAGAATTTCCTACCAAAGACGAAGATAAACTAGACGAATCATGTCTTAATGATATTTTGGAAGAAGAGTTTCCTACCAATGATGAAGAAGTAGATGAAGATGCTCTGCTTAATGACACCAAAGATGAATATATGTCTGACAATTATATTAAAAAAGACAAAGCTGACAAAGGGGTTGCTGTTTCTGAAGAACAAGATACTACAGATATTGAAAACAAGAATGATAACAAACCTTCCAGTGTTTCTGAAGATAAAGATGATAGGGAATTTGAAAAGTACTCAATTATTGATACTTCTGATTTATGTGACTGGGAATCTGAATACATCACAAATTATAAGAAAACTTTTTCTGAAGATAAATATACTAATTATTCTGAACCCAAAGAAAGGAATCTCTCTGAGCAGCAGAACACAAAAGAGGATGCTCTTGATGGGGAAAAAGATACAATTGATGTTAAACATAAAGAGAAAATTGATACATATTGTGTTGATAAAACTGAAGATCAACTAAAAATTGATGAAAAGAATAAGGAACATGTTAAATTAGAAAACGAAGTAAAATATGTTAATGTATGTGATAATAAAAATAAAGGTAGTAACGTTGAGTTGCATAAAGAAATAGCACAATCAGATAGTGATGATTATAAGCTGGAGTGTTTAATAGAACCACCGAATAGTTGTAACCAAAATAGTTTGCACTTAAATACCTCCGAATCTTCCGATTTGGAATCGCCCAAGGAGAACATCATAAACAATAAATGTCACTTGGATAACGGTGTTTCGGAATTAAATAAAATCCCTACTATAGTAACGTTTGACAGAAATGTTACTTTTAGGTCGCCGGAACCCAGAAAAAATTATAAAAAATTCGGGAAGTTTTCGAACAATCGGACTTTAGATGGTTGGGTAAAGAGAAAGCCTGCCGATTCGGTGAAATTCGGCGGTAAATATGGAAGGCCGGATTCTTGTAGTGGTTCTCACGATAAATACTAAGAAATATTATTTGAAAATGGGCGGTTTATTTTTTGATTCAATTTAACTCTAAAAAGTCTGAAAATGTATCATTTTATAGAAAACGTAGCAGAAGTTACGATTAGTAATATTATTATTTATTTCATTTTGCTAAATGTCACTGGTCTTGTTTTTGCACATTTTCTATACAGAGTGTTTTTAATCATGATTTAAAGATTTAATACTGCTTGCTATATTGGAAACTGTAAAACGTAGAAAATTGTATAAATGGTAAAAAAATTGTGTAAAAGAAAAAAAAAATTTGCGTCTTTATTTTTATATGCATTTTCTATACGATGCATTGTATTTTTAGGACCATCATCAGGCTATCTTTTTTATTTTGGATTGTAACTTATTTCTGCCATATTCACCATTTTTATAATAATTCTCAGGCAAAATAGCGAGTTAGTACTTCTGTTTATTAACAGTAGGTTAACACTCTCACTGCCAGTGTAATATTAATACACCCCTATTGTAACAAAGGTGCAATGTACACAAATAACTTTTTGTTTTAAGCTAAAATGTAACCTTGATGTTAGGGCTACAGCTCGATATATAGAACTTTTGCTTTTGACGATTCTTAATAGTTTAGGATTGTTTCTCATTAAAACAGGATTTGCAATAATGTGGATTGCATTCACATTGTTTTCTATTGATGTAAAAAAATGTTACACTTGGCACAGGATAGTAATTTCCTTTGCAGGCCAGTGACATTATTGTACACCCTACGAAAATAAACTAAAAAAAATAGAAAAAAACACCAAATATAACCTTCTAATAGCAAAACAACATATATCAAAAAACAAAAAAACAAAAATTGGCTGGTGTACTTTAATGTTACACCTGCCGGTGAGAGTGTTAATAATTCTGGTGTCAACTTAACACGCCAACTTCCTTTATTATTTTTGAGACTTTGTTCTTTGTATGTCTAAATTCCAACTAGAACATTCCAGTTTCTATAGCGTTTCTAGTATGTTTTGTAAAGTTTCAATAATAGAAAGGATATGAAAGATGTAATTTCATTAATAATTGTAGAACGGTAAATTAAGTTTGGGAAATAAAAAGTACCAATGTCGTTTTTAACAAACCAAAGCAGGAAGACAATAGTAAATTAGGGAAGTCTATTCTTTTGAATCTTAAAAAATCTCTTAGTTTCTGTCCACTATTTTTACAACAAAAACAATAAATTTACATCAGATAACTATGAAAACGGTATCAACTTCCCAAACTAAAAGCTGATAACTTTAACTTTGATAGCCCCTAAATATGGTTGCTGTTGTTGTTGTTTAGTCGTTTAATGTCTTTTATGGTTTGCAATATAGCAATAATAAATTTAAGAAAGAAAAAACGCCCTGTTATATTTTGAGTCGAAAAACAAAGCGAACATTTTCAATTACAATGGTGAATCTCTTCCCCCATCTGAACTTTAACTAGAAATTGTAAATTACTTATTTATAACTAATATGTGAAAATGTGATTTAGAGAGTTATCCTGTACAGAACATTAGGTTTAATAGTTTTTTTACGGAACAATTTTTATTGCGCATATTTGTAAATTATAGTGTGATTGTGTACATGTTGGTTGCCTTCCAAAAAGACATTTAAACAATTGGAAAAGCGATTTTTTTTCTAATTTTCATTACTGTTGATTTATTAATTTATTGATGTTTTTGAAACTTTTTTCTTTAATTTTATTGTTCAACTGGACTATAATTTTTGAAATCGCTTTTGGCATTTTTTATCAGAAATTTTTGAGTTAACAAAATAAAAAAAATATATTAATTGGCATGCAAATAAAAAATTTTAAAAATGGTTTTAGTGCAATAAAAAAACATTCTATGAAAATGCCTAAATGCGATATTCTGTTGTAAATATTTATTTGTGTGGTTTAATGCAATTTTTTATCTAAATCTTTATTTTTTTTATATTTTATTTAAAAAATTTACGTATATTATACATTATTAATTTCTGGAAAAATAAAGCATCATTGTTTTTGGTAAATATGAGTGCCTTTGACAAAAAAAAAACAAAAAAAAAAAATAATGTAGAGTTTCGAATTATATAACTTTTTTTTATTAAACTATTGCACTGGACCACACCTTGTTCAGGTTTTAAATTTGAATTCTGACTTGAGAAATTTTGCATTTCAAAATATACAAAGTTCTATTTTTTCTTACGTTATTGATATGTCATGGAAAATTTTTCACGTCACCTACAGTATCACATTTACCAGTAATGTACATACTTAATACATATGAAAAAAAAAAAAAAATAAAGAAGTTCTCTTGCAAATGTTTTTTGTTGTTTGTTTTGCGGGGTGGACGTGGGTTTTGGTGCCTTCTTTGCTCTCAATGTCCGCAGCGGGCACCAAAACACTGCCCCGCTGGACATGAGCAAGTGGGCTTCTTTATAACCCTCGAACCACCCCACAGTCACCCGATAAATCCTTATTTTATTTTGAAACTACTGAATAGCTTGATTGGATATGTGACAATTTTTTAACTCGACGATCACTAGAAGTTTTACAAATTAAATTGGTTTATTTAAAGATTGGAATACAAAGTAAAAAATCTAAATTTGCATCCATAACTAAGTTCTATACTGAATTCGTGACCAATGGAATCTAAGGATTAGGTGTCCGTATTTGTTATTCTTATAGTCTATTTTTATGTATGAGATAGTATTAAAATAAAGCGTTCGTAATCCATAGGCGTACCACTTCTTTTAGTAGACAGTTAAAATATTTTTGAAGTTATTCCTCAAGTATACATTTATATTTTCACCTAATTAACCTGCTTATAACTTCTAAACAGCTGAAGGTAAAAAAGTGCAAAATGTTTTATTTTTCCACAAGGTATGTTAAAAACATTGTGTCAAACGGGTTATGTAGGTATAAGGGTTTAAACTTTGACTTTAAAACAACGTTACGTTCATAAATAATAATTTTAATATAAAAACTACTTCTTACCTACAAATCCAAATCAGAATCGAAATCCGAAGATGAACTGTCGCAACCAATATTTACAATGAGTGGCTCGATCATTTCATCAGTAATATTGTTCAACTTCCACATTTTCTCTTCTTCTTTAATCGTATGATGTACTGCCTTTTCCCAGTTTTCAGGCTTCACATTATTTACAACCTCCAAAAACAACTGTTTAACATCACTCATTTTAAAAGAATTATTTTTTCTTCAAACTTCTCCCTTTATCTGTGCCCATATCAGTTCAATCGGGTTTACTTCGCAATGATATGGTGGTGATCTAACCACCGTCATCCCACGATTTTTTGCAATTTCATATTTTTTGAATTTTTCTTTATGAAGGGAACACAAATGATACAGTTCTTTTCTCACAGAACCGGGATGGAACTTAATATTCTTTGAATTTAGCCAATTCTGTAAATCTTTTTTTAACCACTTGGTAGTGGGCATTTTTTCTATAAGTCTCGAGTAATAACTTGCATTATCCATTACTATTATACAGTTCTGAGGAAGAAGATCTATAATTTGTTCGAACCACTCTTTAAAGACATCAGCATTCATGTCCTCATGGTGGTCACCGGTACGAGTAGATTCAAAAGTCAATAAACCACCTTTAACAAAACCGTTTGAACTACCGATGTGCACTATTATTAGTCTGCGCCCCTTCCCTGATGGTGGATTTAAACCAGTAGATAAATTATTAAAAAAAGCCTGTCTTCGACTTGTAACAGTTTCATCTTGCCAAAATTTATTTGGTTTATGTCCCTCGTTGATCCATGTCCATAATATATATTTCTTCTTTGGTTTCTCATTTCTTTTATAGTCCTTAGGTAATTTCTTCTCCATACTACAATATCGCTTCTTTCTATTAAAATAGACTTTCTGGAATGCTTTTTCCATAGAAAACCTATTTCTTTTAAAAGTTTCCATAGTGTGCTTCGAGTCATTTCAGGGTAATCCTTATCATCTCGAACCGTGGCAAGAACTTTGTCTACTGTCGGAAATTCTTTTCTAAAGAAGAACGCATGCACTTTCCTTCGAAGTCTTTCTTTCAAAAGATTTTCTAATTGAAATTTTGGTTTTCCTGGAGCTTTACGTGCTGTTTGAAACTCGCCACATTTCTCTTCTTTAACAACTCTGTAAATCGTAGATTTCCCAACACCAAGCGTACTGCTAACTAATTCCACTGTGTCATCAACACTTTTATATAAATGTTTGTTTGTAAATGATTTGAAACAATTAAATATTAATGTTTTTTCATTAACTGTTAAAGGACCGATTTTTTGTCGTTTACGCGGCTCTTCCAAATTTTCCATGATCACACTAGAATTCACACTGCACCTTGCAAGTTGCAACTAAACGACATTTAGTAAACTGTCAAGAATACACAACTTGGACCTCCTTACTAAATGGAAAACCTATAATCGCATTTTCGGTGAAATTTGTTGGGAAGGTATTTATCTGCTTATAATTCGATTACTGTAAGAAATTCTTGGAATTAAAATAAAACAAAATTGGCAAATAGGTACTTATTGAAAATAATCTTAAGATAGGGCTATGTAATCTTTAATACACAGGGCTTTTGGCCTTTCCAAACCTTTTTCTATTGTTCTGTACAGCTTATGTTTATAAAGGACCAATAAAAGACCCAACACTTGTAATAGCTCAGGTACATTTATTACAATTTTAGGAAATATTTAGATTATTCTGTAAAAATATTTAAAATGACCGTACAGAAGTTTTGCATTAGAAATGCTGTTTTATTACTCTCTCATACATAAAAATAGACTATAATAATATGTAGGTAAAATAAAAAAAATTGAAAATAAACAATTTAAATTTGGAATTTATAAAATACCTGTGTAGATTTTAATTAAATTAATCTAAAGTAGGACAGTGGTAAATACTAGGTTATAAAAACGCCTCGGATACTCACGATTCAAAACTTTAAATTGAAGATCTATAATTTTATGGTTCTATTGAAAAATAGTATTCTTTGAGTCTGTTCCTTTATAACCTAGCAATTATTAATTAGTAATTTAATTCGTTCCAAAAGTTATTTGGTTCTTAAAACATACATTTATTTCAGTAAGCGATCATGTGCTTCTTAGAATATTTAATTACATTCTTTTAAATATGTCAATTTAGTTATTGAAACATATTAAAGTTAAAAAAAAATTATTTGGTCGTAAACTTTTTGTATTTTATTCAGTAAAATTGACATTTGAGCAAATCTCACTTTCAGTATTTTATGAACAATCTTGGTAATTTTATAATTTTTTATGAGTAACTCCTACAGGTAAGTGCCGAATACTTTTGATTAAATATAAATTTAGCATAAAATGAATAGCATTTCTTAAAAAGTATACACACACAGTTTTAACAAAAACCAGAACATTTATTCTATTAGTTGATTTTTTAAAAATCTTTCATATAAACTTTTTTCTTAAATTTTGACAATTGATTATAACAAAAATACCAAAAATTGCACCGAACTAGATTTGGTGATCTGTTTTATAGATTCTTTAATGACTTCTGAACTTTTATTTTACTGCTATCTAAAAGAGCGTTAATGGCTCATCAGTACTAGTACTTCGAAGAAGAACAACAACAGTTTTTTGGAATTTCCTTCCATATAAATCTTGGTGATCAATTCATTTTAAATGCACCTAAAAGTTTTGTTTAGAAAATCTAAGAAAGAAATTGTACATTCTAGATAAATTTTATTAACATTCATTACACCGAAAACCATCTAATCTTACTGTGACAGTATGGTCACAGTTTAATCGTTTGACAGTTTTAGTTTTATTTAAGAGTAGTTTTCCACGACTACAATTCCATAAATTGTATTCTACTGCATACATCTAGACACAAATACTGTTCTGCATATTTCAAAACAGTTTTAGAATTTAAACATAGAATATTGTATAGAGCTGTAGAAACTATTTATTTCTAATTAAATTTTCTTGCATCTTCGATTTGTTTATACCAAAAGACAATTTAAAAACTTACAAGGCTATATCTCATGAAATGAACTAAATATATCAGAAAAGGAGTACAAAATAAATTGTATCTATTAAATTTTACTTTTCTGATATCTTTAGTTTATGAGATAGAGCCATTGATTTTTTTTAAATTTGAACCCTTTATACTTTTGAGATATACCATTTAAAATATCTAAAAAATAAAACAAATTGCTAATTCGAATCAATATTTTTTAAATTCGTTTTATAAGCAAAGCAAAAATTAACCAAACAAAAAATTTACCTTTACCTACAAATAAAAAAAAAACAAGTATAAAAATATATTACAATCAAGCAAACCATATTTTAACTTTTAAATTTATTATTACTAAGGAAATAGGTGACTGTCGGGATTATTATTGCATATATTTATTTTTGGTTATGATATTACAGATCTGGGTGTCTGATAACACAATGGAGCAAATGCCGGTAAGTACCAACAATATTTTTTCCTAAGTTAATTATAGTTTTATTTTCGCGAATAATTTTTTCCTAAGTTAATTATAGTTTTATTTTCGCGAATAGAATCTAATGGCACAATTAAATACTGACGTAGAAAAAAACAAATAATGAAACACTACAGTAACATGAAAGTAATATCATTATTATTTAAAAAATGAGTGATTTACATAAAAGTTTTTAAAGTAAGCCATGACTGACAAGAACAGATACGAGTCACGTTCGTGATAACTACCAACGGCTCGTTCATGCGTGATTTTACTCATTTCCTACTTTACAAACCTTTTTTGTAGATCGCTCCATACAATTGGTGAGAAAAATGTTAATAACAATTCTGAGATGATCTGAAAACATGTTCTGAAATCATTCTGATCGCTGTCCCAGTTTAAAAGTGTAACATCTCAAAAATTTTAGAATTGGAGATAAGAATGTATTCTTAACAAGAAGGGCAAGATCTATTACAATAATTCAATACTATAATATCTCAAAATATTTATTTTAATAATAAATTACAAATTAGTAAAGAAAAATCTTACAAAATAGTAAAGAATGGTTATTTAACGAACAAGTGTGTTAATAAGGGCGATCAACAATCGAAATAATTTAACACGCGAGCAGAGCGAAAGCGTTAATGTTTGAGATTGTTAATCGCCATTTTAATTCACGAGTTCGTTTCAGTACTTTTCCGTCGACCGTACTTTTCAAAAATAAAGATATCTTTCAATTTTTATTTATTTAACGAAAAACAATTACTATTTTCTATTTATATTAACTTTATTCACTGTTAGTTCAATTTTCCTCAGTGTTAGTTTAATTATTGTAAATATTAATATTAGAAAAAATTGTGCAATTACTAAAATTGAATGAAGTAATTGATATGTGATTTTCTGCTGTATAACATTTTGATAAATTAAATTAATGACATACAATGACAGAGAGTATTAACGCATCTTCTTGATTTCAAATGTATATGTATGTTTGGTTGCCTACACCATAGGTAACTGTCAATATAAATGTATAATAAGAGCAATGTTCGTAGGGTTGCATATAATAAAATCGTTGATTAATAAAAAATCATCCATTAATAGGGGTCATTAATCAACGATTTTAAGTGCGTTAAAATACATCATAAATGAATGGTCGGTCCACGGAAAAAATCTCATCTCAAAATGGATTTGGAGATGTTACACTTTTGAACTGGGACAGCATGATGGTCTCTGCTGCTATTCTTTAGATCCTATTTTTTACTTCTCTGTAACCAGTAAGGAAACTATAGGAATCATGATGTTTTCGACGGATTTTTAACGTTTTTGGATCTCCTGAATCCGTTGTGACCCCTTTCGCGGTGATATTTGTCTATAACTCGAAAACAAATTTTAAAATTAAGTTTTAATCCATCCTTAATAAGATTTAGGTTATAGTCTTGAGTATCTATCTGGGGGGAGTAACAGTCCTCTGTTCATATTCTGAAACGGTGGCATCCATCACTACTAAGAACGGGGGTGTAACGGCACAGAATAAAAAATATTTTTTCCTAAGTTAATTATAGTTTTATTTTCGCGAATAGCACAATTAAATACTGACGTAGAAAAAACAAATAAGGAAACACTACAGTAACATGAAAGTAATGTTATTATTTAAAAAATGAGTGATTTACATAAAAGTTTAGGCCATTACTGACAAGGACAGATACGAGTCACGTTCGTGATAACTACCAACGGCTCGGGCATGCGTGATTTTTCCCATTTCCTGTGACGTTATAGAATAAAAAATCAAGGCGACGGAAAATATTTGCGGTTTGTACATTAGTTTTTTAAAAACATCTAATACTTTTTTTTATCATTTAATGGTAGTTTGATTGTTTGAAAGACAAGCTACAAAACAGCAAGGAAAAATGATGTAATGATTTTCATAAAATTTCAAACGAATTACTTTTATTTGAATTATAAAGAGAAATATTGCGTGAATGGTTTATTGTAAACATTTTGGGTTACGGTATGGCTTCCAAACCAAACTCCGACCACATTTTGTTTATACTCTGAAACAATTAAAATTTTAGCATGCCTGGAGCGAGCTGTAGTGTTGTTATTTGCAAACACAATGTTTACAAACAAAAATCATCAGAAGAGGGGATATAATTTTTCCCTTTCCCAAAAGCGACATTTTACAAAAATATGGTTGCATTGTTTTTGAAAATATTAGATCAATGTTAAAACTGAAAATGTTCATTTTAAGGCATTTGGATGCGATTCATGTAAAAAAACTGAGTTGTGTTATTCGGTTTTTTCTTACACTCTACTGTTTATACATAAAATAACTAGGCACGGACAAAATATATTTTTATTTCAGATATAAATACAGGGTATCCCGAAATTAGACGGTCATATTTTAACAGCGTAATCTATATCCTAAAATAGGAGTAAAGGTTCATGTAAACATAGGTCTGAAAACGTTTCTTTTTCGAGATACAGCGTGTTAAAAGTGAAGTCCTGATGACACACTTTTGTAAATATTTTCTAAACG